TAAGGAAAAATACGTATTTTACTAATTATAATTAGTAAAAAATTTAAGCGTTGCATTATTTTTGATTGCCACTGTATTATTAAATTTTTATAAAAGTTTTATACTTTTATTATTGTATAATAAAAGTAAAATATAATTTAAATTATTTTTTAATGGCTATATATTTAATAATTTTATTATATAAAAATTTTGTAATCAATCTTGCAAGCTAATTTTTGAATATTTTTGAATATAACAAATTTATAAAATATTTTACTAAGATTTTTTTATTATATAATTAAGAAAACTTATTCTCTAAATATTAAAAAATATAAATATTTATATTATTTGAAATAATCAAAAAAATTTTTTTCACATCACTGTATTTTTAAATAAAAATTAGGCATTAAATATATTATTAATAACATATCTTTGTTTTATTTCGCGAAGAAATAGTCTTTTTGAATAAATATATATATAGTCAAAAAAACCTAGTTCTTATAAAGAGGCTGTTCTTAAAAAAAAATGATTTTTAATTTATATATATATATTCTAATGCAATGATTCTCAAAATCTAGTTCTTATAGAGAGTTATGATTGTATATAAAAATAAAAATAATGATAATGATAATAAAAACATTTAAAAAAATGCTAACTAAAAATTTTTTGCCTTTTTTTATTTTAAAATTTTCTAAATATAAAATATTATTTTTATGTGTTATCAAAATATTAAATTCAGGTGTATTTCTTCTATACTAGATTTTTCTAGTAAAATTTTCTTTTAAATGGAACCACGAAAACACCTTCAACCTCACGGATGTATTTAGGTACGATTTTTGTATTCATAACGTTTAATGTACAATTAGGGCCAATATAATTATACTTCCCAACCATCATCGCCTGGCGCTAATCTATTGAAAAATATTTATCATATAAACATGTTGTCACGATGTGCTTTATCATGTACCCTATTCATTGCCGTCTTTTCTGCAAAAAATTTAGGCATAAAAAAAGTGGGATAGCTTGTTTTCGGGGTTAAATTTATTAAATTTAGAGATAATTTTGCACAACTTAGCAATCCAAAAAATCGCGTTTTAGAGATAAATCAAATATCTATTGAGATTTTTATTTAATGAATTTAACGTGTGGTTTCGATTTCGATATAGTGAATACCCACTTTAATTAAACACGTGATCTTATATACACAGTGACTCTCTTTATAGTGGAGATTAATTAAACGCACGATATAATGGATAATATCCAAAACCATCTTTAATGATATATTTACTAGTAAATTTCAAAAAACTCTCGATATAATGGAATTTTTGAAAATTTCTTTACTGACGGATTTTTTTTGAAGTCACTGGGTGGAAAAACTATTCCTTTTTTAGAAACAATGTCAATGGTTACCTAAGGAAAATCGCGTTATCAATTCCCACACACGCTGCACATAGAAGTTCAGTTCTTCCTTCTTTCCTAAAATACCAGACTATGACAAGTCCAATTTTTAATTGAGATCAAACGTCATCTGAAGGTGATATTGGCAATTCAAGAATCAGCAGGCTTTTGAGGGGCAAAAAAATCTTTATTATATACTCTATATACTTTTTATATTGCGTGGGTGTTTTACTTTTCAAGACGAGCTGGATCCAAAGAATACCCGGGCTTTTCTCAGACTGGGCCTATAGTGCTGCTGGAACCTGGTTCACGAGGCTAAAACCTGTAGATACTCCATTTCGGGAAGAATTTATAGTTCATTAAATTGATGAAAGAGTGTGAATGCATTTTCCTATTCAAGTTAGAGACAAGGATAAGAATGTTCACATTTCACCAAGGCGGTGTATCAAACTCGGGGATTTTTCGTTTGTAGTTTATCGGTTTCACCGAATGGCGGTTATTTTTAGCCGTAATAAAGTTTCTTAATAAATATTTTACATCACTGACTCGTTATCGGCTCTCGATCCCCAAAATTCACGATTCATGCAATTGGGGATTGCACAACTAGCGGCAAAAAAATTCATTCAAATTTTCAAGAATGACATTGCCGTTGATGTCATGCCTAATTGTTGTGTAGAATACAAATATTTAAATTTGAACTCTAATGCTAAATGATGCGACATCGATGGATGTATCATCCACTGTCTTTATTCAAACATTAACAATACACATGTAATACAAAATCAACGTCTTTTTCATTCGCATATAACAAAACATGTCAATAGGCATTCAAAAAAATATAATACCGCATTAAAGAATGCATGCACGCACATATAATACATATAATCAAATTGCCCCATGACTTTTATCAAATGTTCACACGGTCTATAAATGCAGGATGGACACCGTGACCTAAAAATTAGGTAACCTACAAACTTTATCTATTGTATTTATCGTTATCGTTATACAATAGCATACTAATAAATTGCATTGGTTTGTTTGTCCCTAAAAACGGTATTATCGTTATTTCTATTATTCGATTAAGGTCACGTGCATTTCTGTGTAATTTTGTTTCATAATTTAGAAAGACCGGTGTTCATCTTTCTTTAATATCAGGTGAAACTTTAAAGAGACATTATATTTAGCGTTAATAATGTCTGCATTAACGTAGTTACGTAAATATTTCCATTTCCTTGCCAGCCCCCCGCTCAGCTTGAATTTTTCTTTTAATTTAAAATTATTTGTTATTCGAACAAATTAACGCTGTGGTTTCTCGGAGTTTTATCCAAAAAAAGGTCTAGTTATTACGCCATTTCTTTTTTTCGTCGTCAAAGTGGAATTGGCCGATTATGAACACGCGGGCAAAGAACAATGGTGAGGTGTGATCTGTGGAGAACCAATTGACAAGGGAGCCCATTTATACTTGCCGGCGTTCAATGAAGACTAAAATTTAAAAAATTTAAAAATAAACATTGATCATGTCACTCGGAATAAAGTGACATGACGGGAAATTAAAAGAAGTGTCATGATGTCATTATCTGAAGCTTTAACTATAGTTGGCCGTTGTAAGAATTTTTTATGACAATTAAAAACGCATACGGAAAGTACTTTAATCTAACCTTCCGTGAATGATAAATTCCTTCTCAAGCTTGCTCGACTCCGAATTCATGTTTAGTTCCCCGTGCGTCGATTTTGAAAAATAACTGATTCATGCGCAGAAGTTTTAATGCATTCAAAGTCTAAATAACAAATAGGTGAAACACCGCATGATTGGTACCACCTCCTGTCACATCCGACACCAGTATTTTTCAAGACTAACAAAGACATATGTATCTTTCAAGAACTGACAAAGACAAACAGTTTCAATCCTGATATGAAGGTTGCCGTGTGGTATGCCGAAAACGATTGCTCATGAGGATAATACGTTGTGCGGAAGGATTTCTTTGTAATATTTGCAAGCTTAACAAGCATTAGTTATTTGTGCTGTGTGAAAATAATCACAAGTGTGCATGTTTTTTAAAAACATCATGCATTATTCATAAAACAAAAGCAAATCTCCTTTAAAAGCTTCTGTAACGTTAACCGTTGAAATACAATATAAATCTCGTTCGATTCTGTTTATATAAGTATCCGTTATACGTCGATGACAATTTATAATAAAAATTGTCACACTTCCCAACCAATCGGTGGCTTTATTCGTAAAGTGCCGCCGTCTTCAGAATTATACGCACTATTGACGCTGAGCGAATTATCAACGTATCCAATTCCAAGGATTATTACACGCTTTCATCCTTTTTCCCTGGTTTATAGAAATATAGAGGTTGAGATGATGCATAGCTGGAATCCGTTTGATTTTTTTTTTTTAATGTCGCATCCCGAACTCATCAGCAAAATCAAGACAATGTCTAGTTTTTCGCTGCTTATATATGTGCTCAATTTGGACAACTGGGGTTAATAAATTCGGGTCGTTTACGAAATAAGCCCATGTGAATGATAATGTGATATTATAATTGTATTAAAATTTACATTGTTATTTCATATAACATTTTTATGTATATAGGTGAATAAGATGAAAGATGGGCATTAAAGAGAGAGAGAGAATGGTGCATGTATATAGATAACGATAACAAAACTATAATCGTTTCAAAAAAGGTATTATTTGTGTGGCAGTATTAGATAATAATAAAAGAACAAAAGCACACATACCCTCATTAGGAAATAATGTCGTTGTTTGAGATGATTCAACCCCCTTAAAATTCTCTTTTTTAGAAATTCCTCAAAGTCACTATTACAACTACTATAAACTCTATTATATACGGTTAATACTATCTTTATTAGATGTACCGTCAGGACTATTATAAAGAAGTTTTCATATCGATGCCTACATCTGGCAAGTGAATAAACTTCAGAGTTACATTTTATCTTCTAAAATTGTAATGTAAAACTACCCAGTTATTTAAATGGAAATAGATTACGTATATTAAGTTTTGTGGTTGACAAAGACATCCGATATCTATATATAAGTAACCGGTATGGCAAGAAAAACCAAAAAAAAAGAGTAGAAAATTTGCTTCCTGTTTCTCTGAAATGCTTCGGAATACTGAAATGAATATTTATACGGATATGTGCTCAAAAAAAAGAAAAATAAATGATAAATCACACTGTTCCAAAGAGATATCCAAGCCAACTTACTACAATCATGACTACCTCTATAAAATTAACAAAAAATCAGATTTCCTCAAAAAATCAAAGAATACCATATGTTTTGCCACACAAGTTCCACCCGAGATATTTGCCACCATATGCGAATATCTCGATCCGCCAGAACTCTTTGCACTCGCCTCGACGTGTAGAAAATTTCATGATTATTTATGCTCAGAGGAATCGGGCGTCACCCAACAAATATGGAAAGCTTCTCGGATGCTGTATTTACCATCGTTGACGGATCCCCCGTGGGAAGGAATGGATCAACGACGATACACAGCGCTGTTGATTTTGCAACGTACTTGCCAAATTTGTGGTAAAACTCAGGATGAAAAACCGGTCCCTTTGTATTGGGAATTTCATCTCAGATGTTGCGATTCCTGTTTTAGTAAAAATACTGCAAGGTTTTTATTTTTATTTTAACTTCTTGCATGACATTATACTAAGAAAAATCTATTAGACTAACCATTCGTTATACCTGCCTTTTGCGCCTTTATTACAAAATAGTCATCTGCAATTAATGAGAGACAAAGTGCCTCGCGAGATTTTAGCGACCACTCCATACATATTAGTCACATCAAGCACTCCATGCATGGTAAAAGTGCGTAACTCAACAAAGATCCATGTGTTGAAAAGATTGCACGTCTACTGGCGTCCACATATTACAGAAGCACAGAATAAATGGGAAGCAATGAAACCGGAAGATCAAGAAGGATGGTTAGACAAACAACCCAGACTATCCTCTAAGATGGAAGCTTATAAGCGACGAAAAACCGCATACGCTCAAGAAATCTTAAAAAAAGCTGAGGAGACACGACGAACTCGGCTTGCTTATGCTTTGGAGGCTTTAAAAAATGAAGTGTATCTTGACGGAACTCCAAAATTTTATGCGCCCATGTTCGATTATTGCTCAACTCGTGAACAGCCACTACAATTTTTTATCTTCACGGATAATGATTGGGTTAGGTGGCGTAATCGTATGGAAGCTGAATATCGAAAAATGATGGAAATTGCAGATTCATTCAACCCAATAATGTGCAATCCCACATAATCAAAAAAATTTAAATTTTTTGCATCTATGTATCTTTATTGTAGTCGATTATGCGATTGATGAAATCCCCACTCTACGTATTTTGAACAAACTCGAATTAGGCATCATATTTCGCATAGCAAATGACAAATATTCTCATGAATTATTATCATTCAAGTTAAAGGATTCATTCAATCAATAAAGTCCGTAAATACGTGACGCAACAACACCAAAAAGAAAAAAAAAAGAAAAAACTTATAATGACTGAATGAATATATTTTACAAAAATGAATTAGATATTATAGGAATAATAGTTAAATTAAAAGCAAAAATTATTTAAAATTCATTAGTGTATACATGTATTTCGCAAATAAAAATTATCGATCTCAAGCACAGTACGAACTGTACTTCTTTTTCCTCCCCTCGGAGAAATTTATTCACTTCCATATTTGGGTTATCATTAAAAGATGAATCATTCGATAAACGTTAGGCTGGATATGTAATCGAACACAAAATGACTTATCGTTCTCGAACTTTCTTTATAGCTCATACATGTATCTCTAGATCTGAGATCATTTGTGAATTACAAATTACATGTAATATTGCGTATTGAGTAGATCATTCTTGTCTTGTTTAATAGCATGTTTATAAATCGAGCATCAAATAACATTCATTATTTATGCCAATTATACGAGATATGTTATAGATACGATACGTCTCGTTTTTGCTTTGTGATTGTATTTACTATTAATTAACCTGGCGCAATTTTTGCTTTATTGGTTGTGCTGAAATAATCAATGAGATGATGATAAGGGAAATGTTTACTATATCAATCTATTATTCAAATGAATAAATCTATTACGTACGTGGGTAATTTTTTGTATTTTTTTTCATCATACCATCAAAGAGGAAAAAGCAATAAGCTATTAAGGCCATTTAAAAGGAAAGAGCAATAACTTAATAAGTTACACTCCCCTTGGAACCATATGAAAAATGAAAGAACATGCATTTAAGGAGGGTGCGCGTTCATAGCGAGTAAAAAACAGAGAGATCTTATAACATGCATTTAAAAGAGAATTTATACAGTGCGAGAGCGCATTTAGAGGGGTGTTACTAAATGGAAGTTTGAACCTTTCTTGCTGAATTCAATATTTAATTTTATTACAAGCAAGTACCACCACTTTTTTGGCGTAATAACGCAGAAAAAAGGTAACCACGTTTTATATCGGGTCTTATAACTCTCGTTACATGTTCACTTTCAGTTCCGTTCTTTATTTCGGTTACATATTGTTATCATTTTCATACAATGACACCTCAGGCCAAGAAAAAGTGTGACTTAAATAGAGTTCATTATTATGTGGAGTTAAGTGACTTATCCTTCGTATTACTGAAATTAGGGATGGGAACCCAATCCATGTAATATGGTTAGGCTAGTGAACCTAAAGACAAAAGCATGGCCGAATTATGCTATAGTTTAGGTGCCCAACTTTAGCTGAAACTGGGAAAAGGTCGTAGAGAGCATCTCGATACATATGAGGTACCGTAATCCCGTGAATAAGCACCCCTTGAAAATAAGCCCTAGCTCGCATTATAATCATCTTGACCAGCATTATTAGTAATTTGGACACCCCCCCCCCCGTTGCAAAAAAAAGGGGTGCTTATTCACCAGAGTTTATGGCATTTGTTTCAATTAAATTCGCTTAAATTATACTATTATTTCGATTTCTCTACATAAATTCGCTTGGCTTTTTTTGAATTTATGCAAAATTTCTTTCCTTTAACTTTAATGAATTCTGGCTGATACATAAAAAAAATTGTCTAGTCCCAAATCCATTATTCAGCATCTACATAATGGTGCACTGTATCAAAACGTTCCATTGACGATTCAGAAAGTTTTGGTAATTCAACATAATCATAAGTTATCCGAAAACAATATTTAGACTAAAGGTTATTTTTGTTACTTCGTTCTGAACCTGAATAATGCCCTCGAATTTCATAGCAATAACAAATCCGCGAGCATTATAACTTTTTCATAAAAAAGAATTATGGTTTATTTTTAATATATTCATTATACTGGAATTCGTTAATTTATCTAAAGTTTGCATTGTTCTATTAGTCTTGTCAACACATACCGCAGTTTTTTAGACTTGTTTTCCATTAAATTTGGTGTAAGGGCAGATATTAGCTAACGTTAATATCTATAAAAATCCCTCCCTTTCTAAGACATGACCTATATATAATGCAAAAAAGTATATAAACTTAACCCTAAAAATAAGCTATCCCCTTTTTGACCTCAAAAAATTGTGCAAAAAATCGCAGCTTATTTCCAGGAATTTACAATATTTTATCATTTTCCTTCCCCCATAATATTAGCTAATACCTGTAACATCCATGTTCTTGAAGATGGTTTAGTATCACATTTCCTGGTTTTTCTTTCCAGTTCACTTCACGAAAACTATGTCGGATTGAAATCTAGGAATCATAAAGCTCAAAGACTGGTTTTCTTTTTAGTCCAGTTGATTACATTATTGGCTGTGTGAGTAGAAGCATCGTCATCATGAAAGTATCTCCCTTTTATATTTTTTTAAATGACAATAACTTTATGAGAAATATAAAAATGCATGAATGTGAGTGAAATGATCATAATATACTTCGAAAATATTGGTTGAATGATCTCGCTCATCCGAAATCAGAGTTATTCGCTGATTTTTCAATAAACACTTTTAAGTATGCTTTGTAAAATGAAACAATCTAATTTCAAATGCTTTTGAAGACGATTGTCTTGTATTATAAAATTTCTCTTTGTCTTAAAATTTCTCAAATTAATTCCAATGAAAACCCTTGCTTTGATGATCAAGATATTGAAGAAAATCAAATTTCGAAAATTGCAAGTTCAAAAAACTTTGTTGTTTGTCTTTTTCTTTTTATTTTTCCAAATTAAAAAACAACAGATAAACCCTTAACTTTCAAAAGAAATAGCGTTTCAGGCGAAACTGTTGTTCAACGTTTCGCCTAGTGGCCTTTCGGTTTTCGTCTCGAAACCTATCAGAAACCCTAATTTGGAAACGCTTTGTAGATCAGAAACTGAAAGTGAAACAAGTTTCGCCCGAAAAACTTATCCCATAAGCACGACAATGGACTCTATAGTTCTCCCGATATATAATTAAAATAAATTCGCAAATTTAAAAATTTGAACACACTTCATTACGAAGATTTCAGTTGATGCATTCTCTTTTGTTGTCGGTGGCGTAGGCCGACTTTAAATAAATGCTGAGAATATAATTATGACATTTGTTAGCCTGCTACATTTGGAGGTTCTTGGACTCGAATCATTGCGTGTAAGGTTTGCAATTTAGCCATGTCGTCTATTATTTTGACATGAGATGTGAGAAAGAGATTCCGGTTCATTTATAGCAAAATTTAAAACTATTATTTCGTGTCAATTATAAATTAGAAACCAATACTTTTATTAAAAAAAAAAATATGTCGTCGAATACAAAATAGTAAAATAAAAATCCCCCATTAATTATAAGTATGATTATTGTTGTTGTTGTTTGTTAATAACCTTATGCATAGGATAAAACCTTAATTTAAAGCTTATATGATAAAAATGAATGATTGCATGCAAAAACGTTTTGGTATTGTAAAATCTTAGACGAATAGATTAATGTTAATAAATTTACCTCCACTAACTACTATTAATGCGGTCAGCCCACAACAACATCTCACCCGAAACATCACCACCACGCACAATAACTTTCCTTAGGTGTGGAAAATACGCAGCAGCTGTCAATGGAGCCACTTTTTTCTCGTCTGTAAGTCCAGACGGACACTCAAATTCTAAGGTTTCCAAATTGGTAAGCTTTGTCAAGGGCTTGAGATTTGTCACTGCAGTAAAATTCACCGATTTAAATGACAAATGACGTAATGTTTTCGGCAGTGCAGCACATAAACGATCTATGTCTGTGGGAATCCATTCATTTGATAGCAGCTTTAATTGGAAAGTAGTCAATCGTCGCAAGCAGTTTATAAACTTAATGAGCTTGTCCATTTCTGATTTTCCTTCTCTTGCCCAATCTTGGCGATAAAAGTTGATCTCGATATAAACATGCTCCTAAAAAAGATATGAAAATTTAATGGATTTACATTATAAAAATTCCGAGATGTTACAAATAGCCAAGCATACACACAGCGTTTATAAACCCCTCACAAAGGGCTGGATACTTGTCATGTTCCAATGGTCCTGAAACTATTCTCAATTCTTGAAATTGTTGACACCATTTCACAATTTCCCGCGCCCTAAGCAAGAAAAAGTCGTCCGGATCTTTTAACACAATTTTCGAGGCAGCCGGCGCCAATCTCATTAACATTTTTACGATGGCTCGCTTAACCGCTGACCTGTATGTTATTTTACCACTGCCGTTCTTTCGCATGAGGACTGGTAATTGATCTTCTTTTGCCAAAGCAATTTTTGGAAATAAATCTATCGAAAATTGTGATTCAATTTCTTTCCCTTTTCCCTTGATGCTTTTAGACTCTGCTATTTGATCAACCCATCTTAACCAAGCACGAACTGATTTCCCAAAATTCCAATAGTCAACCGATTTCAAAAACGCCGGGTATTCGAAAGTTGGCATTGGAATCACGGGAACAACTACGCCAGCTTCGTCCAGCTCTGTGCGTTCAGAATCGTCTAAAAATGCCAGATATATCTTGATTAATATCTCACTCTCCGTTAGAAATGGATCCCGCCACAATAACGACACTACGTTCGAACACCAATGTCGATCAACTAACAAACATCGATATAAATCCCCCGCTTTGAAATCTGCAAAGATTGTCTGCCACGTTTCAGGTGGCAATCGTATTGATGATACGCCGGTTTGTTCGTTTTCTATTGTTACTAATAATCTTTCATCGGATGGTTGTTGCTGCTGTTGCTGCTGCTGCTGCTGCTGTTGCCACATTTCATAAATTATTTTGGATATTTGTATTGTGTGAGATATGGCAATTATTTTTTTTATAGAGATTATATAAAGATTAGATATGTATATCTATCTATTAATTAACGTTAATAAATATTGTACAAAAAAAATAAAAGAATCAAAACATCAGATAATCGTTTCACACATATATTAAATGTTATACCAAATGTGATACATAAATACAAATCATGCTAATACAAATACTGGTAATAGCATTGATCGATGTCCACTACGTAATTTAAATCAAGATTTGCTGTTTTGGGACATTTTTTAATTATTCCACGAATGATCGGAATCGATTACAAGGGATGGATTGAGAGACAATCTTTTTTTCTTGAGAACATAAGTTAACCCTGAAACTCCAAGATTTGTTGATAGTCTTTTTTTGATTAATTGAATCGGAAAATCATTGAAAGTGAATTAAGAAAAAAATGCAATTTAATGCCTGCCTTATTATTAATGTAATGTGGGCATTGGATCTCTGTTTAATCTAAATTCATTAATCCATTGGACGAAAAATACACATGCATTTTTAAATCGGATTCTCAAGCTTCTAAGTTTGCATTATAAAGTTTATTTTGTTGATTAAATATGGTAAATCATCTACATGTATTTTGTTATTTAATATCGATTTATTAATTAAACAATGTCCATGAATAAAAATGACAAATACTAAACCAAATCATGTTAAAATAAATATAAAAATCACAACATTTATATATATACATATTCGTAATCTATTGCTTGCTATAAGTTAAATTATTTAGTACTCTGATCAATTAAATAATTAGAAGCTTTTTCTAAATCGTAATCATATTTTTCAAGCGCATTGACCGATTGTTCTCTAGTGAAGCCCATAGATCTCAGCTGTTTAACATAGTCAGAATCATTATCTTCCTTAGCTGATTCTCTTGGTGGTAGTACTGGAGGAGGAGGCAATGTTGAATCTAGAATATGAAAAATCTCAGTTGAATCTCCACCACCACCACCACCACCTGTTAATGCTAATGAAGAGGGTCCATTTCTTTTTGGAACCTGTGGAGGTTTAGACAGTTCTGTAAATGTATCTTCAAAGCCAAATTCATTTTTCGTTTCGGATTTTGTTGTCGTTGATCCGATGAAACTTCCGCCGAATGCAGCATCTAAATTCGGTTTTGATGTGTTAAGTGTTGTCGACGTTGTAGCAGTATTTGCTGTGAATGAATCAAAGTCGTCAAATGCCTTATTAAAATCGATGCTATTAAAATTCGTAGCAGTGGCAGAATCTATCTGTGAATTACTCGAGTTGCTTGTTTTTTTCACATTCGCGACTGTTGGTGTGTCAAACGTGGGATTGAAATCATCATCAAAATCATTCTCATCGAATGTTGCATCGAAATCGGTGGGTGCATTAACTACTTTGGCTTCCGATAAATCGGCAAATGCGGCATCAAAGGCGTCAAAATTGGTATCAAATTTGTTTACCGAAGCAACAGGCGCATTAACCACTTTGGATTCGGATAAATCGGCAAATGCGTCATCAAATGCGTCAAAAGCGGCATCAAGTTTGTTTGTCGAAGCGACAGGTGCGTTTACTACTTTAGATTCCGGTAAATTGGCAAATGCGGCATCAAAATCGTCTATCGGCGCAATAGGAACATTAGAACCTGCTGCAGTTGATTGTGCATTAACGTGCTCGGTCTGGTCTTTTGGTGGTACAGTAAAGGGATCCGATATGTCTTTAGAATCGAGTAAACCTTGGAATGAATCTTTCGAAGCTGTTAACGAATCATTAATTATTGGTTCGGCCGAAATATTAAACGAATCAATTTTTGATTCTTCTGATTCATTGTTGCCAATTTTCTCTAAAGATAAAATGTCTTTATTTTCAGAATCTTCATTTTTATCTGTTTTACCAAAATTAATGTTCGATAAACCCTGGTTTGAATTCGAAAGTATTTCATCTCCAGTTTTAGAGTTGATATCGTTATCTACAGCATTTTTGGGTTTCTTATCCTCCGTAAAATTATCTTCAAAACCTAAAGAAACGTCTCCGGCCAGAGATTTCTCAAGTTCTTCAAGAGTAGGAAATTCCGTTGCAAATGTGTCTGGAGTTAAGGTTTCCGGAGGTGGTGGTCCAAAAGCGGAAAAGGCAGCATCCAATTTATTGTTTCCCGCCACTGGTTTAAAGCTGCCTAATGATGAAAAAGGATCATTACTAGGCAAAGAATCCTCTTTCTTTGTTGTATCAATATTAGTTTGCGCAGGTTCAAAAAAGTCTGTCTGTTTATTTTCAGATTTGCCAACCAAATCCTTTTTCTCCTCATTCAAATTATTGAAAGGATCTAATCTCTTTTCTTCGTGCTGAACCAAACTCGCTTGAACAGATGATACTTGGGGTACTATAGGCTTTTCATCATTATTGTTAACAGCAAAATTTAAATTATCAAATGCCTTATCAAATGATTTATCAGATGATACTTGTGGTGCTATAGACTTTTCATCATAATTATTAACAGCAAAATTTAAATTATCAAATGCCTTATCCAATGAAGGATCAAATACTTTGTCAAATGGATTTGATTTCGCGGATATTTCCGACGCGTTATCAATCACACTTTTTTCAAGCTCCGAGGGCTTAGAGGTTGCCACTGAAGCAGGCTTATCAAAGCTCGTCATTCCTTCATAATTTGCTTGCACTAAATTAAGCGATCTTGAGCTTGAAACACTATGAGTTGAATATGAGTCAAGTGACGCATTTGACATTGTTCTCTTTATCCCAAGATCAGGAATGGAGGCTATCGATGGCTTTTGACTGTGAACGTGAGAAGCTTGTTGACTGCCATTTTCCGTAAATTCCTCAGAAATTCCTTGACTAGCGGGTTGAAGGTTCGCAAAAGGATCCGAAAATTCCTGCTGTTGATTTGCCTCCTCATCTTGCAGTTTCTGCAATGTCTTCGCTGATTTCTCTTGTTCAACCTTAACACTAGATAATTGTTTTCGATTGATCGCTAGCAATCCTTTATGTTGCCGTGATTCTTTTTTCAATTTCTCAATTTGTGCCTTAATCGTTAATGTTTCTTCCTCAGTTAATCTTATCTGCTTCTTGAGGTTCATTGTTTCTTCACGATCCTTTAAAATGCCGGATTGAAGTTGATCCTTTTCTAGTTGCAGGGTTGCAAGGCTACGCTCGGCCGAGGCAAGCTCAGCTCTCACCAGTTCAGTAGCCTCATGTTCTTTTCGATAGTTGGCCTCAATTTCTTGCACGATCTTAATCTCTGCTTCGTATAATGCCTTTAATTGTGTGAGACGCAATTTAATATCATTCTTCTTGATAGTCAATGAGGCAAAGTTTGATTCTAACTCATTTCGTCTCGCTTTAAGTCCAGTCGAAGCATTATTTAACTGCGTAAGTTGAGATTCGAGATTTCGAATTTCACCCGTTTCAAGCGCTATTTCCGTTTTAATATCTTGGTCTATCGAAAGGAGATCAACCTCTGGCGATTCTAAGGAGATGCGTGCGTTAATGAAAATAATTTGAATTTGTCAAATAAACAAGTTGGAAAACATACTCTGAAAGGCTGTGCTATTATTCGTCGTAGATGTTGGAAATGGAGGGTCAAAAAAGGGATCATTCAAATTTGTTGTCGAAGTACGTGGACGAATGCTGTCTGTTCTTTGTAAATTTGAAAAGGCATTCTCTGTTTTATCAGGCACGCGCGTTATTAAAAGAATATGAGATTTCGAAATTTATTTTGAAAAAGGAAATATTGTATAGCGCTCAAAAATTCCAAGAAACATACTTATTGTCGGCCTTATTGAAGGTGGTATAAGACTAGGTGGTAATGTCGTAGGTAACACGCCACCTGCTTTCTTCTTATATATTAAATGCATTGCCACTGCAAATTCATCTCGAGTCAATCGGCCAGATTTTGTAACATTGGCAAGATCCCTTTGATAAAATTCATTATAATTAAACTTTAAAAATAAAAATGAAATTTAACTTAAAATAGCTACCATATCTGAGCCAAAACTTCGGCTGAAAGTTTCGAGTTCAAAAAAAAATTGGCTGCCTCCTCGCCTATTTTTTTTGTAATTAATTAATCATCTCATAATCGGACAAAATCCAACAAATCAATCAATTAACACTTGCCAGTGATAAATCCTCTATTGGTCGCATCGAGCTCTGAGAAATAGGCGTCAAAATTGGCTTTATCCTGGGGAGTTACATCCCAAACATCTCCTGGTGAATTATTAATGATGCCTTCATCAAAGAATGGAGCTGCTGCTGTTGTAGATGTGCGTAAATTTTCAGAAGACCCTCGCGGAATTAATAGTGATGATTGCTGCTGTTGTTTGAATCTGGGACTGCCTGTTGAATATGGAGATGGGCTAGTGGTGCCAATAGTATTATGTGGAGAAAATGCTGGAGGAATTTTTGGGGATGATGTTCCTCCTGCCGCTGCCACTGCTTCCTCGTATAATCCTGGTGGCAAAGTTTGCGGCAGAGTTTGAATACTATTGGTCATACACTTTTGCACAAAATACATTGCAATCATAAATTCTGTGAGGTCCAGATGTCCCCTTTTTTTTGTATCTGCCAAATTCCTTGAAAAATACATAACCGATAGGAATAATGAGTCAGTCAACATTGTGCATTAAATAAATATATTTCTTAGTTTAAAAATTCCTAATACCAAATCTGCGCAAGTTTTTCAGTCGGAAGTTTAGATCTAATCCATAATGCTTTTAAGTTTTCATCTGTGAATATAAAAATCATAGGTTAGCATTGAATAAAAAAGCTTATGCTCTTAGCAAAAACATTTTATATATATAGAAAATAATTACTTTCAATTATCCCGTTTTTGGGATGTAACGAATTAAACAGGTTTTTGTATTTATCCCGGTCGTCATTCGTGATAAAAACAACATTATTACTGTTTGTAATTCCTTTGGTGAAAGGTTCAATAACAATGTCTTGAAAATGCGGTAATGGTGATTCTGGAATCATTTTAATCAAAATTAGCATATTTATTTAGCTTATCACGTATCATCCATTTATCTTTGTCGTGTATCGAACCTTTATTAATTAATGAACGATCCGGCTCTTGTCCATTCTGAGCTTGTGCTATAAGCTTAATGGCGATACTGAAAGTCTGTGGTGTCAAGAATCCTTTATTTTCCGAATCGGCAATCTGCCAAATCTGTATAAATCAATGTTAATAACAATGTCATTATAAGTTATTATCAGAATTCTATATGAAAAGGCGACGCTTACAAAATAAATCCAATAAATAAATTCCTAAAAATTACGTGCCTTTGCAAGAATCGTTGAATGTAAAGCCGACTTGCCAAAAAAACTGACTGCCCTATTTCCGGTGACAATTCCTTTACCCTCCTCGTCGGCTGCTTTAAACAGTTGACCAAAAACGTGTCTCTCTTCAGGGGTTAATATAATTTCAGGCCCTTGATAATAATTGCGAGAGTATATATGTATAAATCCTCAGTTGTATTCGACATGATCGAGATTTGAAAACTTTACTTCTGCTTACCTCCTGTTGCCATGTGGAATACCTCCAAACTTCTATATATTTCTCGATTTAGCTGTTAAAGATAAATGATGTTATATTATTGTAAAACTAAACGCCAAGGAAGATTTAATAACACCGCGGAAACTCAAGAGCCGAAGTTTATATCGTTATATTTTTACTTCTTCTATAATTGGTTAATAGAAGATCAACAAACAGTATGCGATGTAACAATGCGACAATCAATAATTGAAGCGCACGCGACATTTTAAATTCTATGTATAATTGCATTGTGACTATATATTGGGTGTGGCACAACGATTGATCATCAAAATTATGCTTCCCGTAGGCTTTTATTACTGATCGTGATATTTGTTTATTCTAAAAAAACCTCTGTACAATAATATTACACGCATACACTACATATTGACACCGCCTTGAGAATAATGCCATCCACATATAATATAATTCTTATTAATTTTGATGATCAGTTTAGTTGTTGGGCCACATCCCAATTTTATATGGCGTGAGGCCTGACTGTGGTTCCTGTTTGATTGCAATATTGTTCTTTCTTCTCAAATTCAGGGCAAACTCATAGTCTTTATCATCACACAAGAGTTCTTGATCAATTTCTTCATCAATAGCAAAAGTGTTTCTAAAAGAGATATCTTGGTTATTATTATCATCGAGTTCCTCTGATTTCCCTATTTCTTGAACAACTTCCTCGCTTTTAATTATACCTATTGACGCAGCGGCGGAAGTAGGTATTTTCGGTATAGTTGTGGTACTGGTAGTCGTGATGGTGGTGGTGGTGGTAGTGGTGGTGGTTGTAGTCGATATTAACATGTTTTCCACGTCAGTGGAAGAAGCAGCGGTGGCAGATGTTCTTAATTTTTCAAAGATCTTTGGTATTTGATCGTCATTGTATGTATTCCAAAGTTCGTATAGTGATATGATTTCTTGTACAATTACAGCAACCTATGATAAGATTTGTGTGTTTTTTAATTTGGATGAATTGAATTCGATCGTTTGTATAAAAGAAAATGATAATCTAATTTAAAAGTATTACCTCCTCCATGTCGACATTCAAATTATAAAACCACTTTTTTAGCTCTTTTAATCTAGCAATACTATTGTCATTTTTTGATGTCGAATTCAATGTGTTTCGCCTTCCGATATTACTGTTGTTATTACCATTACCGCTACTGTTACCATTACCGTTATTATTACCGTTGTTACCATTAACATTAACATTACCATTACCGTTTCCGGTCCCATTTCCACTTCCGGTTCCATTTCCATTCCCGATACCGCCACTAAGACCACATTCACCCAATCTTATAGCAATGGGGATATAAAGTGCAGCAATCGCAATCATATGCGGTGGATGTGTTAGACATAAATCTGTCTTGTACGTATCATTAACAATAGTCCATGCTTCACGAATTGTTTCCTGTCTTTGTCCAAGTTCCTGCGCAAGAGTAATTAGAGTTCGATATGGATGAAAGACTATCAGATTGAAATCTAATTCCTCGAGAAGATAAAATTCCATTTCAGCTACTTTTTGATTGTCGTATGGGAATGTTGCTTGATCAGGAGCTAACGTCGGTGCGGCTGAGATGTTTGATAGAAAGTTAAAAATTATCGACTTAAAATGTGTTAATAATAAATAATTCATCTGATTATATTTGTATGGTAGTACTTGCTTTTTTTACAATTCACGGCAGTATTTCTCATCTCGGATATAACATTCTTAATATGATGTGGCGATTCCTCCATCTTACAAGCAAGATACATACAAGTAGCTGCCACAAGATTGGGATCGGTCTGTCTGTACGTATTTCTATTAAAAAAGAAACCAAGCACAAGATCTTTAGTCAAATCCAAGTCTAATTGAAACTTAAACCAAATAAAAATCATGACAATTTCCAACATGCCTTGTATAGAACCGTTTAAAGTATGTAATGGCCGTCGCTATTATCACCTGTTTTACATTGAGTTTCTTTCCCAGATTATGGATTACTATTATTGAAAAGTCAAACGTTATAAGAAGCTTGATCTCACAAGAATAGTGATCATATTGACGTTGGAGCCAAACTGATGTGCTTTAATGAAAACACTCACAATTCGCATACCAAATACGCAGTTTTGCTAGTTCAATCTCGCTAATGAATTGTAAATCAATTTTACGACTTTCTTGCAGTGTTTTCTTGTCAAGTAACCAGTGACGTCTTTATAAGAAGAAGGGAAATCTAAACTTAATATCATAAGCTTTTTCATAGGATTTTACTTTATAAATGACAAATTACCCATGAGTAGAAGCCCAAAAGTCAGCAGCCATTTACGAAAGTTAATACAACTTCTATCGCAATGTGCTAGTTAAAAATCTGTCACGTGATTCCATTTTAAAAATTATATATAGATATATATATTTGATTAAACTTAAAAAAACGCGAGTACAGACAATCCAATGACACGTATTTATCCACGCGCAACTCTCAAGAAAATTTTAAAAGCTCATCTTCCAGAAAACCAATTCAGCAATAACGTAGATATAATGGTATATAACCCAATGTTCGTTTTTTAATCAAAATTTAATCATTAATCAAAATGCTCTATTTCTTTTTTGGTCTGTTAATAAAGCTCTACTTGGATTACATCCATTTTCTTCAAAGTTTAGCGGAAGAAGCAAATTTGGAGGCCAACTCAAAAAAAGCAAAGATAATAAGAAAGGAACATATTGATTCGGTCCTGGAGGTTAGAAGATATATGCTTCTTTGGATGTTAATTGGATTTTTCTCAAGTGAAAATTAATCAGCTATTAAAATAAAATAATAGAATACATTGAAACGATTCGATGGTTAAGAATTAAAGATTTATTATATTTATTATTATCATCAAGTCTATTATTATTATTATTATTATTATTATTATTTTTTAATACATTTCTTCATAATATTACAGTATAATTGATCACATTGTTATACTATATAGAATATATATATACATCAAACCATTTTACAAGAAAAAAAAGGGCGAATGTAACCTAAAATCAAGTTCCAAAAATAAAAAAGAACAAAAGTTAAATCCAATTAGTGCCCCAATTCAAATCACTCATTTGTGATCCATCAGAGTTCCTCTGTTTTTCTCTGCTTCGGGCAGAACCTTCTCCCCCGTTTAACGCTACGACCTCAAACCCCTCCCAAACATCCTTTTTTTTCTTCCACTCTAGTTTAGCCTTAAATGAAGGCTTTTTTTGGAGGGAACTTTGACTTTTAAATCGTTCCTCATCTTCAGGTTTATATGCTGGAGGAGGACTGCTTTCGCGGAAATCGAAAACCTCATGAGGTTGAATGTTTTTCTTGGAACCGGAGAGATAAGATTTATCAGGCTGCGAAATTTTTACTTGGCCATTTAATTCCTCCTGGGTGTATAGCTCTTCCATATTATTCGCTACCGCATTTTCATCCACTTGTTCCTTGAATCTTTCCGTGTTCTCCTTTCGTCGTTTCACCGCACAATATCGCAATAAAAATACACAGCAGGTTAAAAGTAAAACCGCCACGATGATAATCACTAAAATGACCCACCACGGTAAAGATTTTTTCGTTAGGGAGGTGTTGTCCCCGCCAATTGGACTCACAACATTTTCACTGTCAAGATTCTGGCAAAGACGCTCGCTTTCGAGTAACCTACTTCCGGATGGACATGCCCCACTACAAGAACCTCCAACCAGAATTTTTGACTGATCCATGCAGCCAAGGCACTGATTACTTGAAGAACCAACACATGAAGAACATTCTTTGTCACACTGTTGACATTTTCCATTCATGTCAGCGTAAGTTCCTTTCGGACAGATTTCTACACATTGATTATTGAATAAAATTGGTCGATTTGGGGGACATTTTGTGCATTGATTAAGCGCAGGACCACTGCATTCGGCACAATCTGGATGACATTTAGTGCAAGTTGTATTTATTGCGACGTATGAAGAGGGGCATTTTTGTGGTGAGCACGTGCCATTTAGGGCGAATTGAGTTGAATCTGTGCATGTAAGACATTGTGTATTTGAGGGACCATTGCAACTACCACATGAAGGATCACATTCTATAGATGCAAATTAAATTAGTAAGATAAAATAAAAAACAGGCGCGATTGAACTTAATTCATCAAAAAAAAAACAAATATTTACTGCTACAAGTATTGTCACTGTCATCAATGTATTCTCCTGGAGGACATGTCTTAACGCATTTTTTATTATCATCAAGCACATAGCCAGGCATACACGCTGAACAAACCGTGTTGTTTATCGGGCTTTGAGTGGTAAAGCTTGGAATATAACAATCCACACAACTACTCGGGCACGCTAAAAATTATAGAAGCAAATTCGGTGAGCGACTTGTTAATTTTCGTAAACATCCAATCAACAATATACCATACGTTGACAAATTCCCGTGAGCACATTAACAACATATTTTAAATTATCTGGAGTTACGCAATGGCCATCATCATTGTTTATTGATACACAATTTCCCTCCATATAAGCTTTCGAAGAATCACACAATGGAGGATTTCCGCCTGCAGGGGTATTCGGAACACATGTTGTAACGTCAGTGCCTACCCTAAGACCGTTTGAGCACGCCTTACATATTCCATTTGCTTGACAACTGATACACCCCTGAGAACAAGGGAGAACATCACCACCAGATTGATAGTAACCGTTTTTAGGAATACTACATTTTGTTGAATTGTTGTTGGGATCGTTGGCCCAGCCGGCATTACATGTGCAACGTCCTTGAGAATCACAGACCCCATTACCACAATTGCATGCTAAAAAATTCAAAGAATACGAATAAGTTTTATGATGTACTTGATCGAATTTTGTAGTTAGAATATTATATGAACCTTACGTTGGCAAGCGGGGTAACCATAAAATCCAGCCGCACAAGTATCGCAATGCGTACCATTGAAACCTGGAGCACACTTATTCAAGTTACATTTGCCTGTCCCGGTTAATCCATCGTCACAGGTGAAGTGCGTTGTATTGTCACATGATGAGGGGCAGGCTATTCAAATCAATAATAATAAATTGAGATTAAATATAATTACAGTAATATGCGTGTAACACATCAAAGGAAATCTTACGTTGACAATTCGGACCAAAAAACCCTGGAAGACATTGATCGCATAACTGACCAGTAAATCCAGTTTTACAAGTACATTGATTTTTACTCGAACAAAAGCCACCAGAAGAACATTCAGGTGAGCAAGTAGCTAAGGTTAACAAAAGGTTAACTTGCTGTTCGTTAATAAAAAAAAATACTACAATAAAATACTTTGTAAGAAAACGTACCAGCTGACACATCGATGCTTCCGGCAGAAGTTTGAGCGGTTGCAACTGCAATTCCAGTGAAATTTGCAATAGGTTCATATATCCCAAGATTATCTCCCGAAAAATTAGATGATTGCCATAAAACGGCACGAAAACCGTCAGGAACCATTACCGAACCAATTAACATCGAAGTTGCACCATCCTGCGCCTCAGATGAATTTCCATTTCCGATAAATCGACTCTCACCAAAATAAGCCGGTTGCTCATATGTTACCAATCCTAACTTAAGACTTACAACGATTGTCGAAGTGAGACCATCGATCGGATCCAGCTGTGCCACATCCGAATCATAAGTTGTGGTGACGTTTACTCCTCGGCTTACGACAAATTGGAATCCAGGTGGAATCTCAATCGAGAAAGGGGAAGAGAATATTGACGATGGAAGATTTTTTGACGTATATGTGTTTAAGAATAGATGCGTTGAATTTTGTGAAAACAAAGTTCCGGTGTATAAATTTATCGCGTCTATAATTCAAAAAATTGATTAGAATTTTCGAGCAACAGATTTCTTAAATTCGTTAAAGTAATACCTGGCACAACATGAAAAGCTTTCCATTGGAATGGACTTGAACTAGTCTGACAAGTGCTCAATCCAATATCATTTCCGATCATTCCCAAACAATTTGATCCACTCATCCAGTTATTTCCACTCGCTGACCATTTCTGTCCAGGGCTCCCATTATCACATGGGCATACTTCAACATTCGAACTAGCTGCAGAAAGACATAATTTATTGTCCGATGATTCAATATACACGTCGGTCGAATTCGTTGTCGTGGTCGAAAAAGGGATTGACGGATTTACCGGGATAATATTCCACTTTAAAGAATCGGGAACAGAAGAAAATCTGTCCACAGGACATGACGTCATTGAGACGGTAAAACAGCCTGAATTTTTCGAGGAAGTTTGCGTGCGTTGCATGCATGATTGTGTTTGTCGGTTGCGTATGAATTTGGCTATATGCGCGTGTAGTCACAAAAAAAAAACGACAATCATAAGAGCGAACATGTTAATTGAATTTTTTCTCTGATAAGTTGACTTTAGAAGAATATTTTATTGATTTAATTTTTATATACCTCCTTCAATAGGATTTGTAAACGCTGTCAGAATCAAAAAAGCAAGTAAAAGTAGGGTCAGATCCCTGATTTGACTTGACATTGTTTTCTCTTATCTTTGGGAATAATTTAAATTTCTAAATATTAAATTTGCAAATTATAATAATATGATAAGAAGAGAGGTGACCAGCAGCTCTTCCTTTGATAAGACAAGAGTAAATGTTGATATGAAGGAACGAAAAGGTAAGACGAAAGGAAGGAATGAGGAGGTGAAAGAAAAGGATATTAGAATAATCTAGGGATAAAAAATCATTACACTTTTTTCAATTTTTGTATCCATTCGAATCATGCCTGCTTCTTCTCTTTATATATGATATGCATTGCTTGCTTAAAGTTAAAAGGACTGTAACGCTTAGGAGGCACACACGAAACAAACACACGGTTTTTCGACAATAGAATAATTTGATCTCTTCATAAAGCGAACAATACTTTGTATAATAAACAAAATGCTGGATGCTAGATCAACAACGCATGTAATAATTATCACCCACGCTTATACCCGATTTACTCACACAAGCATTGTTTGCCGTTTTCGACGGCCATTACATCTTTCCAAATTTGGTTCAAGGTAAATTAATTGTATCAAATAAAAAAAACAAACAGTGGATTTATGCATGTATGCACATGTATTATGTATTATTTTGTATTACCATTGAAAAAAAAGGATAATTTTTCATCTTCATCGTTAACAGTGACATTCGTATACCACAATATGATACAATAATAATAATAATAATAATAATAATAATAATAATAACCGTTGTGGTTAGGAAAAACATTACACCTATTTAAATCAATTGATCGTTCATTCAAGTATTTTTAACGTCATCATCAAAACAATCATCAACGGAACGACTTTTATTGTTGTTATTCTAGCATTCTCAACAAAAGCAAAAATTATCCACCCATCATCACCTTTCCCAGTCTAATAGAAAAAGAAAGAACTCTTACTCAACAAATTGATCATAATTTCACAAGAGCAAGAATGAAAAACGAATTTCTGGTTCAAAAGCAAGAATCTGTTTAAATTGAACTTATGACCCTCTGAATCCCTGAAATGGCTGATAAATATTTGGCCGCTGCCTTTGTTGTGCAATAAACTGATTTACTCGCTCTTGGAGTTGTCGGTTTTCTCTCATTAACTGATTTATTTGGCTTTGCGAACTGTTGCCTTGACTCTTCGTCATTTCGCCCAAATCTCTAGGTTGATAAACATCCTGACAATTGGTGGATATCTAACTACGCAAAAAAGCTCGGCAATCATTACGAGATCTTTGTCGCGGATCTTCTTGCTTAGTAAGATTATTTACGTGAATAAGGCGACGGCAAGAACGTAAAATAGTAGCTACATCTTCACTTTGATTCATCAACATTTCTTTGTTTTTGCGATTTTTTCCGGATCACGGAAACTTGCAAATCTAATTCGCACAATTATCGTGTATCTGTCAACATCTCCCCGAAGAAAACTGCGGAGCAAAGTGAAAGCTTCGACGTCTTGCGTAAATATACCACTGACTATGAAGAATATTTGATTTATACCATTTTGTACTCCCAAGACAGCATTCGCTAATCGATTTGAT